CTCCTGGAGCCCTCAATAGAACCGAAGACGCCTTCGGGCCCCCAGGACGCTCCCCAGGGCATTTCGGAGGCTCCAGGAAGCACCGAGGGCCCCCCAAATAAATCGTAGCAAAGTCCCAGGCGCGGCAACCTGCTAGTCTGGGAGTTGTCTGGGATGTTTGGTGCTTCCCGAGGCCCCCGCACAAGACTCCAGGAAGCCCCAGGAACCGTCCCAGGTGGCCCGAGGGAGGCTTCCAGGAGGCTGCAGCCCCATCCTCCTCCACGCACGGCAGGCGTCAACGCTCCAGGGGGGGGGGGCCGAGAGAGGGGGACAAGGACAACCGAGGGGCAGGGGGAGAGGACGTGGGGGAAAGAGGGGGACCACAGGGAGGGAAGGCTGGGAGCGGGAGGAGCGGGAGGAGCAGGGAGATGGGCGTCGCCAAGAACCCCCCGGACGCTCGACGCCAGGCCACGTCGCTGGGAGGCAAGAGTTCCGACGGCCAGACGGGGACAGCACGACGGCGTCGGCGGCGACGGCGACGACGACGGCCAAGACAGCAGACGACGGCACAACAGCAGCGACAGCAGCGATCCACAGACGGCGGCGGCGGCGCAGGAGGCCCCAACGAAGGAACTGCGGAAAGAGATGCGGGGGAACCTCGGCCCAGCCTGGCCCGGCCCAGCCCTGTCCGTCGAAAACAAGGAGGGAGGGAGGAAGGGAGGGAGGGAGGGGAGTGTGGGGGGGAAGGTAAGTATGATGGGTGCTGTGTCTGTTGGCGGTATTGGCCTGTGCGGCGTGGACGCCCGACTGAGCTCAGAGAATGCTGCGAAAACTCGTCCTCGTTGTCCTCCCTCCCCCCTCCTGGCGGCTCGGGGGCGGTCGGCACTTGGCATCCGCCCAGGCTCGGAAGAGATCTTATGGCAAATCGCTCTTGGGACTGGCGTCGCCACCTTTCGTGGCACGCCGTCGGCCCCTGGAGGGTGGGAGAAAGGAGGGAGACAGGGAGACAGAGGAAGAGGAAGATGGTATGACAGATCGCTGATCGCTCTTCGGGTTGGCGTCGCCACCATTCGTGGTACGCCGTCGGCTCATGGAGGGGTGGGGTAGTGACTACCTACCAGACCACCCCAACCCAACCCGAAGACCCGAATTTCGGGTTGGGGGGGGTACGGGTCCCAGTTGTGCTTTCTCAAAATGATCCCCGACCCCCCCCCCACAAGGAATGGAGGGCAAAGTGAAGCCGTTTGGTTGGGTTGGGGTGGCCTGGTAGGTGGTGAGAAAGAAGGAAGACAGGGAGGAAGAGGAAGAATCAGGGCAGCCCATGACCTCTCGAAAGTTGAGAGAGCCGTCCGTGGGCTAAGCGTGGTGGTCACCGCCAGGCCGCCCGCGCAACCCGAGACACTTCCGCGCACGCGAGGCCTCGCCATGTCTCGTGCTTCTTCTCGCGATTACCATGCTGAATCGTCGCAGGTCAAACAAGCAATGTGCAGTTTGGGTTATGTTTGCGGCTCGAGCACTTAGAATACCACCTGCCCTTGCGCATGATTTGCCAGGTAATTCAGCAAAACACCTGCCCATCAAGCAAACAATGTCTGTCTTAGTAAACACGCAAGAATAAACGCACCGAGCCTTGGCACTCATCCGCGTAAATGTGACTCTCGTGCAGATGGTCACACAAGTCTTCAACTGTTACCATATATGCCATCTCTCACTTCATTAATGGTGGTGTGACCGCCGCCTGCGCATCGCCCGCCAGAATGTTACGCAATTGCCCCAACAAATTCTCGACTATGCGATATTTGTCAAGCGTATCCGGGTCTGGACTCCAATGGTTTCCATGCTCGCCACATTGATACTCATTCAAGTGTCGTTGGCACTCAGTCAGATGTTGTCGGTACTCAGTCAGATGTCGTTGGCCATTCGTCAGGTGCTGTAGGCACTCCACGGGATCAAGTTGGCACCCAGTCAGGTGCTGTAGGCTGTCAACTAGACAGCGTTGGCTCTCAGCCAGGTGTTGTTGGCACTCAGTCAGATTGCGTTGGCATCCAATTTGAAAGCTGCATTGCGTCAGAACGCCAACGTCACTCAACCAGGTACCCTCGGCGGGCCCCCAACTGGCACTCGGTCTGACGAAACAATTGGCACTGAATCGGCTACCGTTGACTCGCCTTCGGCCAATACACCTTGTGAGGTGGAGGCTGACGCAAGCTGCTCGCCAAGACAGGGAGCGCCTCGGCACAACTTTGCAAAAAATGCCCGTGGCACGCAACCTGGACATCACAACACATGGCACCGAATCCGTTGAAGCAGTACACGCCGTATTACGGGAGTGGCAGGATAAACAAATTCAGTCAGAAGTGGCTGGCAATCATGCAGATGCCATTGGGACTCTATCAGATGGAGCTGGCACTCAGTCAGATGCTGCTGGCACAAGTTCAGATGTTGTTGGCACTGAGTCTGATGTCGTTGGCAGTCAGGTAATTGTCGTTGGCCTTCACTCAGGTCACGTTGACACTCAATCAGGTGTCAGTGGCACTCATTCAGATGTCATTGGCACTGCATGAGAAGCTGCTGGCGTGCAAAACACAAAGGACAGCGGAGAGCATCAGGGACATCAAGAGGAGGTCGACTTGGGCTCGAGTGATCGCGATGATGGGCTATCACATATCACGCCTGCGCGATGCCTTGATGACCAAGTGGAGGCAATCATCATACTCATAGAAGAATGTGGCAAAGCAGATTTGCTTCAATTACAGAACCATTGTGCGTCACGACCCCACGGGGCTGATATCGACGGACATTTCTATAACACCGAAGCCATACGCCCAGCACTGCACGTTGCCCAACACAGTGACCACGGCTGATTGACCCGATCTACAAACACATCAATGAGAATCTGCGTTCCAGACCTCTTCCTCTTCTTCATCCCTTCTGGCTCCTCCATCTCCGCCGTCCCCTTCCCGTAGTCCTCTCGGCGCGCAGTTGGCGCGTCGGGTCGAGGGGCCTGCTGGCCATAACACGCAGGAAAGAATCGCGCAGAATCTCGATTGCACCGTCTTTGTCTTCCACTCGAGCACCCGTCCCGCACCCTCGGAGCGTGCGGGCCTCACCTCCCCCCCCCTCGGGGGCCGCCCCGCGCAGCTTGCTGGGGAGGCGCTCTTGCATAAGGCGTCCGCCTCGGTGGCTGCCCGTGCTTGGCTCTTCGCGTCCTGCGGCTGGGTACTGCGCCTGCTCGCTCTTGGCTGTTCCGTGTCGTTGCTGTTCGCTGATGGACCGTGCTCGTGTGCTTTCGTCATGTGTTTCTGTTATCTTCTGCTGCGTGTAAGCTGCCGCCTCAGCACACGGGACCCGAATGTGTGCACTCACGGATGCTACTACGATGTACTTCACAAGGGGTGGAGGAAGAGGTATATCAGGTGGTGGTGGTGGTGGACCGTTCACCTTGATGTCGCAGTACATGCTCGAGCGCAGCGGAGCCCGACACAAACAGAAGCTGAATGTAGCACCCGCTCCTCGGTCCGCCTCTAATTTCCTGGCACGTGAAGCACGTGGCCATCAAGACAAACTATGGAGTCGGCATCTCCCAGTTGCTTTGCGCGCGTGGGAGGCAGCTTGTGTCTGCCACCAGTCGTGGCACCTTGGGCGTAGCAGAGATCTACATGGGCTGGGATTTCAAAGGCGGGCAATGTACCACTGGAGCTCTTAAGTTACACTCGCTGTGGATTCCTCAGGCTGAAAAGATGGACTCCCAACAGAGGGGGAGGTCTGGAGTAGGAGGAGGAGACGGCATTCAGTGCGAGTGCCTGGTTGCTTTCTCTGCGACGTGCTGTGGACCGATCACCTTGATGTTGCAGTGCATGCTCGAGCGAATCGGCGCTCGACACGAACAACGGCTCAGTGTAGCCCCGCTCCTCGGCCGTAGTGGAGGACCCCTAAGGCACGTGGCCACCAGGGCAAATCATCATGAGCCGGCATCTCTCAGTTGAGCGTGTATGGGAGGCCGCTTCCTCCTGTCACCAGTTGTGGTGCCCGAGGTATTGAGAGGCAGGTGTGGAAGAGATGTGGATGAGGGGAGGGCAGATGATGGAAGGAGGACGTGCGAGTCGACCGCTGAGCGCGTGTTGACTGCCAGAGCTATGCTTCATCGAACTCCTGAGCAGTATGCTGATCATCACCTTGATGTCGAACGAGGCTGAATGTAGCCCCGCTCCTCGGTCCGCTGCGCCTCCATGTTTCTGGTACGTGAGGCCATTGGCCACCAAGTCGGACTATGGAGTCAGCATCTCTGAAGTGATCTGCGTGCATGGGAGGACGTTTCTTTCTGCCACCAGTCGTGGTACCCTAGGCGCGGCGGGGGAGGTATGGAGTAGAAGATATAGGTGTTGTGGGGAGGAGCGCTCCCAGCGTAGGTGGGTCACACAGGCCAACATGCACCTGATTGTTCAACGCACCTGTTAGGGCATCGTATCTTTCGCTCTGCACTGAGCGACTGGTAGTCGCGGACTGTCTTGGGATACGGGCTGGGGGTGGGAGGTAGTGAGGTGGTGGAGGAGACCATCATCATTACCGGTATAATCCACAGGCCAGCCGTTGGCACGGCGAACCTACTGCATTCTTGCCCGCTACTTGTCGCACAAGCTTCGTGCTAGACGCGAGAAAAGACTGCGAAACGCACGCGGGTCCCGGGACCGAGAGAACCTGGGTAGGATCCCTTCAGCATCGCCGCGCGCGCCTGCAACGCCTCAGGCCAGCCAGTCCAGCCTGTGCCTGCCTCGCTTTCATGTTTCACCTTTTTTTGCTCAGTACTGCCAACCTCGACTAAAAATGGTGGGAAAGGGGGCTGATGATGAGATGGCGGAGGAGGAGAAGGGGGAGGAGGAGGTTCCGTGCTTCCCCTGTGCCGGCAGCACACTCTGGGATCTATACTTTTCCCATTGTTCTAGAACTTCGAGGCGCCCTCCTTCCTTCCGCACAACTGCAGGGCACAGGCCTGCCGATGTTTTTCCAAAACTGACGCCGCAATGTTGCTCTTCAGTATGGTCAACATCAAACATGAGTCAAGGCCCTATTCTTCTGCCCGCCTTTCCTGGCGGCGGCTGGCTGCACGGCGGCAGTGGACGAGTCGGCAGAAGGCAAGAGGCGGGAGGAGCCATGAAGAGGAGGCAGGGGCAGGAAGAGATGAACAGGAGGAGAACAAGAGTACAGTGGAGGCCAGTCCACATGAAACCTTCCACAAGAAAGCCAACCCTGAGACCCCAGGACGTCCATCCATTTTTGACGCGGGGACGTCAAGCTTTCCGCGGCAAAACCAACGAAACCCAAGAAACCCAGGGCACCCTGGAGGCAAGCAGGGTGTTTCTAGGCATGGTCCCCCACTGTAGACGGACGAGGTTGGAGGAGAAAGAAAGAACCTGGAGATTCCCAGACGAACTGGCAAGATTGCCATGCTGGGCCCTGCCGTCGGAGAAATTGAAAGATTCAGCGCTCTCGCAATTGTTTCCCCCTGCGAAGACCCTGACGGACGAGGGGGCCTCCAATATGGCCGCAATACCGTCTACAGAGGCCCAACGATATCTTTCAAGAAGCCCCCAAGACGGTCCAGGCGGGCCAGGAGGCTCCTGAGACGGCCCACTCGCGGGAGTCGCCACAACGACTCGACTGTGCATAGTCGAAGAAACCCGAAACGCCCGTACTCTCCGCGATCCCGACGTGCACCTCACGAAGCGAGAGGAATCACATAATCCGACACCCGCGCCAAACAAGGACAGAAACTCAACCACGGTACATGGCCGTTCACAATCACGATCGACCAACAAACAACTTTTTTAGAGCGTTGTCCAAAGGCGACCTTCAGCATTCCCTCATGCTATGCTCCCTGAAGTTGCCCCATCAAACACGACAGACGATATAATACGCGGGAAGGGGATGTCTAGCCAGATTCACAAATGTTTTCCAGCCGTCCAATTCACAGTGTTGTTTCAATACGCCCCAGGTTCACAATGTAGCTATCAGCTAGCAGCCTGGCATCCTCCTGAAGTCATGCTCCGCACACAGGGCGGTCAATCCAACGAGTCTGAGCGAACACTCCTCCCCAACTCATCCCCCCCCTTGTCCTCTCGTCGGTTGGCCGTCGCGCCGAAAGCTGGAGGAAAGCAGGCGCGGCACACTCTCCGCCCCCCGACATGCGCGGCACAATGATCAAAGAAATGTGCCGGGCGCCAACCAAGTGAGCCCCAGAAGGCGGAGTGGTCACGGGCCCCTGCTCCCGCGCCCACCTGAAGCCTCCATGAGCAGAGCTGTAGGGTCTGAATCGGTAATGTGCGTCCCGCGTGTGACGCTCCCCCCTCCCCCCAGGAGGAGGAGGAGGAGGAAGAAGAGGAGGAGGAGGAGGAGGAGGAGGAGGAGGGAGGAGGAGGAGGAGGAGGAGGAGGGAGGAGGAGGAGGAGGGAGGAGGAGGAGGAGGGAGGAGGAGGAGGAGGAGGAGGAGGCGGAGGAGGAGGAGGAGGGGAGGAGGAGGAGGGAGGAGGAAGGAGGAGGAGAGAGGAGGAGGAGAAGAAGGGAGGAGGAGGAGGAGGAGGAGGAGGAGGGAGGAGGAGGAGGAGAAGAAGAAGGAGGGAGAGGAGGAGGAGGAGGAGGAGGAGGAGGAGGGAGGAGGAGGGAGGAGAGGAGGAGGAGGAGAGGAGGAGGAGGAGGAGGAGGAGGAGGGAGGGAGGAGGAGAAGGGAGGATGAGGAGGAGGAGGAGGAGGAGGAGGAGGAGGGAGGAGGGGGAGGAGGAGGAGGGGGAGGAGGAGGAGTAGGAGGACGAGGAGGGAGAGGAGGAGGAGGAAGAGGAGGAGGAGGATAATGAGGGAGGAGGAGGAGGAGGAAGAGGGATGAGGAGGAGGAGGAGGAGCATGAGGAGAAGGAGGAGGAGGAGGAAAAAAAGGCGCCCCCCCCGGGGTACGCAGACGCTCTCCAACCTTTCCGCTCTGCCTACGCCTATCAAGTGTCATTGCACCGGCCTTGCAGACGTGCTGCAGCGTGTTTCTGCGTGGTTTTCTTCGTGGATTGTTGCCCGAAGCGGCGAGCGAAAGACGAAGTGAATTGCGCGTGGATTCTTTTTGGTCTTCATTCATCCCTGGCCAAAAATCCGCACGACATTCACCTCGAAATCCGGAACGAAATTCTCCAGGACACCCCGGGCCCACCCTAGCGTTTTCCGAACGAAAGCCGCTCTGCGATGTCGGCGCCATGACAAGTGGACAAGAAACTGCTTTCTCCCCGCGAAGCCCTGCCCCGCTGCAGCACTAGCGATGCCCACGACAATATGAGCTCGACCACAAGAAACCTTCCACAAGAAACACAACCGTGAGACCCCAGGACGTCCACTGTGATTTTTGGTGTGGCAGCGTCACGCCCTCCATGGCAAAACAATCGGCACCCGACAAACCCAGGGCACACTGGAGGCAAGCAGGGTGTTTCTTGGCATGGGTCTCCAGTGTACGCTAAAGCAGTCAAAAACATGTGGCTGCCCACTATGCTAGCTAGGCTGGAAGCCTCTGGAAACATTGCGTAAACAGCCAGCTTGCTACAGTGGTACCTCGGCGACGACGCCGACAACGTCGTCGACGGCGTCTGGAGCATGATCTCCCATGCGTTGTTGGCCCGCCACACGAAGTGAACCAGACACCAGGCAGGGCAGGCAGTAGCTGCGTGAATAAAGAAAACGAAAGAGTGAGGGAGAATTTGTCGAGGCGAGAGAGAGAGAGAGAGAGAGAGAGGAAGAAAGAAAGAAAAAACGAGAGCCATGGAAGTATACGGTCGGGAACTTTTGCTCAGCGTGTCGGTGCAACGGTCCCAACGACACGCTATGCCTGGCGAGCGGACAGCGTGACGCTCCGCTCCGAGGGGGCGGGAGGCTGGGACAATCTCGGGACATTGACGCTCGGGGACTGGCACGTGAATAGCGTGTCGCGCCGACGAGTGGTGGGCCAAAACCAACGAAACGACACGCTATCGAAAAACTCCTGACCATACCTCTGTCCCACAGGTCCAGCCGTGCATGTAAAGACGCAGCCTGAGTTTTGATAAGTGGTAGCGCGCAAGGATGGAAGCACATGTCGAGTCACGAGTCGCCCTCTCTTGAAGCGATACTCGCTGTGGGGGTCCCCTTCAGGAAATAATGTGGGTAGAATACTCGAGAACTCCCAGACAAATCTGGAGGATCACGCCAACAAGGGCTAGCCCCAGCAAGTCAACACCATAGAACATTGTGCATTCGAACGTGTCGCTGCCACTGTACCTGATCGGGCAAGGGCTCAAATGAAGCGAAGACAACTACACCTACGAAAAGGATTGATCAACCAGCAACGGCTTATGCGTGATCAAGTCAAAACGACAAACCGGGCGTTGCTACACGAAGTCCGAGGGGCACTCTGTAGGTGCCGACGCCCAAATACTTATTCCCCCCGACATCTGGAGAAAGTGGGTTATTCGGGGATGGACAAAGACCCCTTAGGTAAAACGTGGTTTAGTGAAAACGACCTCGGGCCCAAACCTGGCGGGCGCAAGCCTGGAATATCACGGCCGCGGCGCCCTCTCGAGAACCGAAAACGGACAATTCACTAATCGACGTGTCAGGGTAGGAGGTCTATCAAACTCCGAGTTGTTGGTCTGCACACGACAGATCAGGGCTGTTGCGCAGAACTCCGACGTCGGGTAGCTCTTCTTCCCTGCGGGGCCCCCGGAGCAGGCGAGTCATCCCGAGTCGTCGCTGGATGGTGCCAGGGTTAAGTCGGGCATGTCCCCCTTCAGGGGGATCTTCGACGAAAAAAACAAAATATTCCAAACTTGTCAAACAATACTCAAACATAAATAATCCCCAGACTATGTTATAACAACTTTTGAATATTCCTCCTGTGGAGGGACGGGCCCGACTTAATGCCAGGGCCTGGCGAATGCCCCAGGCGACCGGAAGCAATGGCATCGGACGCCCAGTTCGAAGCAGTTCGGGCGGAGCGCGGCCAGCGAAAGTAGCGAAGGATGGGCCGAGGAGGCGCAGGATGGACCGAGGAGGCAAGGATGCAAGTGAACCCTTGGGAAGGTTGCCCGAGGAGGCAAGGATGCAAGTGGCGAAAGTGGCGAAGGATGGACCGAGGAGGCAAGGATGCAAGTGAACCCTTGGGAAGGTCGCCCATCCTTACTATGCTGGTTGACTGTATGGTCCTCGGTGGATTTCCCCAGTGGGCCCACGAAGCGCGCGAGGGGCAGGCAATAATGGAGGGGAGGGAGGGGGCATGCGGTCCGTGCCTCGGCGAGATATCTGTGGGGGCAGCAGAACACGTGCGGGGCATGCCGAAATGGTGGAGCCGCATGCAAACCGTGCCACTGGGGGCTCCCCGTGGCACCACGAAGCTTGCAAGGGGTGTGCCGGGGTGTGCCGAAACAGACGCGACGCCTACATGCGAACGTCGCCTCTGGGGCCTTAGGTGGAGCTCTTCGCGGGACCACGACACGCGTGAGGAGGGTGCCGAAACGGGCGTGACGCCCACATGCGAACATCGCCACTGGGGCCGTATGTGGAGCTTCCTCCGGTGCCAGGAAACATGTTCGGGATGTCCCGAAACGCGCGTGACAATCGCATGCGAACGTCGCCAGTGGGGCCGTATGTGGAGACCCTATGGGGCCACGAACCGCGTGAGGGGTGTCCCGAAACGGGCGTGACGCCCACATGCGAACGTCGCCACTGGGGCCCGCGGTGGAGATCCATGGGACCAAGAGGCGCGTTAGGGATGTCCCGAAACGGACGTGGGACGCTCCCTCTGGGGCCTCCGGTGGAGCTCCATGTGGTTCCCTTCCACGAAACGCTTGAGTGGTGTGTCGGAAAAAGCCTGGCACCCACATGCGGAGGCTCCCTCTGGGACCTTCGGTGGATTTCCCTATGAGGCCACGGCACGTGCGGGCGCGACGCCCACATGCAAACGCTCCCTCTGGGGCCTTCGGTGGAGCTCCTGGTGGGGCCACGAAGCGTGTGAATGGTGTACCGAAACTTGCCTGACGCCCACATGCGAACGATCCTTGTGGGGCCTTGCGTGGAGCTCCCTATGGGGCCACGAGACGGATCAGGGATATCCCGAATCGGGCGTGATGCCCACATGCGAAGGCTCCCTCTGGGGCCTTCGGTGGAACTCCCCATGGTGACTCCACGACACGTGTAAAGGGTGTGCGCCGAAACGGGCGTGACGCCCACATGCGAAGGCTCCTTCCGCGGGGCCGCGAGATCTCGAAATGATCTGCGCTGCCCTCCACCCTGGTGGACCTCCCGAGAGTCCACGAAAGTCGCTACAATTGGGCAATTCGCAGCCACCCAAGGCGCCGCGAGGTCTCGCCGGGATGCGCGTACACCTCCTCTCCGCTGGACCTCCCAGGACCCCACGAAAGTGGCGACGGTTGCGCAGTTCGGAGCCACCCAAGGATCAGCGAAGTCTCGTCTGGATGCGCGTACTCCTCCACTCCTCCGTGGCTCCCAGGAGCCGGCGGGAGTGGCGACGGTTACGCAGTTCGCAGCCACCAAGGCAGCTGCGACGTCTCGGCTGGATGCGCGTACTCCCCTACTCCGCCGTGCCTCCCAGGAGCCCTCGATAATGGCGATAGTTGCGCAGCTCGCAGCCCCGCCTGGAGCTGCGAGGTCTCGGCTGGATGCGCGTACCCCCCTACTTCGCAGTGCCTCCCAGGAGCCGACGAGAATGGCGATGTTTGCGGAGTTCGCAGCAACCCAGAGAACTGCGAGGTCTCCGCTGGATGCGCGTACTCCTCTACTCCGCCGTGCCTCCCAGGAGGCGACGAGAATGGCGCCAATTGCACAGTTTGCAGCCTCCCTAGAAACCGCGATTTCTCGGCTGGATGCGCTCCCACAAGGCCACGAGAGTTGCGAAGGTTACGAAATTCGCAGCCTCCCACGGGGGGCCGCGAAGGATTTTTGCGATGCCCAGATGTGCAGATCCCAGCCATCCATGGAGCAGCGCAGGAGGCGGCAGGAGCAGGGATGAGGGAGACGGGAGAAGGTGTGCGACCGCAGTGCTCTGCTCAATACGAGAAACCAACACAGGAGAGTTGGGAAATAATGGCGGAAGGTTTTCGGCCACGTCCGATCATAAGCACAAGCTTAGACATGCACGCGTCGGGGAAGCACACGACGGACAGTTTGCGGCAATGTGCGCTTATAGGCACAGACCGAGGCCATGCTCGCTCCGAGAAATATCACGACGGGCCTATGTTCGTTTGCGCGCACACGCCCAAACATGCTCGCGGCGTGAGAAATCACGACGGACGGTTTTCGGCCATCTGCGCTCACAGGCACAAGCCCAAGCATCGCGTCGTGGAGAAATAACGGGAGATCCTCTTTCATGTTCCCAAGCAGGCACACGCCCAATCATGCCCGCGTCGGATGCTTTTGACCCGGACTTGCTCGCGTCTGATTCAAAAAGATGACGGAAGAACGACGGCAAGTTTCGGGCCATACTCGCTCACAGGCACAGGCCCAGGCATGCTCGCGCCGTTCAAAGGTCACGACGGAATGTGCTCGACCACTCTCGCTCACGGGCACAAGCCCATGCGTGCTCGCGCCGTGAAGACATCACAACGGAACATGTTCGGCCGTGTTCGCGGACGGGCGCCAGCCCAGACAGTACGATGAATAAGACAGTGCGATGAAGTTCCTGCCGTGTCCGCTCACGCGCACAGGCCCAGACAGAGGGCACGACCATGTCAGGCGTTCTGCAGCGATCGCCGGCAGAGACGCGCCCGACCTCTCCGCGCGGCGAGAAAAAGCTCACCATGGAGAAGGCCTCTGGCGTCTTCGGACTCCAGGCGCTCGCGTGTTGCCACGCATCGCCTGTCCCAAACCACTCAGCCAGGAGACTCGGCGTGTGAGGCTGTCCCAAACCCTTCCCCCGGGAGCCTGGACAGGTTGGCTTGGAGGGGGGGGTCCGGACCAAAGGGCTGGGGGGCTCATCCCTGCAAGACACGATCCTGGACGATCTCAAATCGCAGTGACATGGATCTGAGATGGACCCCGACGCCTCAAAATGGCCCAGCTGGGCGGACAAGAGGTGACGGGCCTTTCGAAAACGCAGAAGGCCCCTTGTTGACGCTCCCAACATGTCACCAAGACGCCTCCTGCTCCCCCGCCTCCTGGTCTTCCTCCTTTACCTCCTCTCGTTCCCCCTCCTGCTCCTCGTCCTCCTCTTCCTCTCGCTGGCCGGCGGGACGCTTTGGATGACGTTCGCTCTGGGAACCAGGATCCCCCCAAAGGATCGGCAACGCGGCGTAAACCTTCGAATCAATACGTCGGATGTCTGGGACAAAATCATGGATAAAGGAAAAACGCCGTAAACAATTCACTTTTGGCGCTCCGCGCGGATTTCTTGGAACCACGCTGGGAACCCATCAGCGCGTTCCTGTGAAAATAATCATTCTCGAATGCCAAAACAAAGGCAGGACACGTCGACGAAGTTCCAAAAAGGCGGCGTGACGTTGATGCTGTGTGTATTCTCTCCCTCCTGGGCTGAGGCATGCGCGTGGGGGGAGAGGCTCTCCCCGGCATCAGCGCCCTGGGATATCCAGGAGGGCCTGCGGCATAGTGGATCATAAACGTTCGAAGGTCGGCGCGGACCCTGGATCTCGAGGCCTCCTAGATGGGGTCCGAGCAACTGCGGTCGGAGGATCGCGCCGCATCGCCGATACATCGGCGACGGGATGCAACGGCGATACATCGTCGACGTCGACGATGCATCGGCGACGTCGACGTGAAGCAAATCGGGCTCCGCATCGAGCCGCATCGCCGATGCATCGGGTATGCGGCACGATCCCCCGACCCCATCTACTCTGACACTGTCCGGGAGGCCAGGAGGATCCCCCCTTCCCCGCACGCGGCGCCTGCACGCGGCGCCTGTGGCGCCGCCACTGGCGCGCTCCCGAGCGCGGGGAGACGGGTTCAGCGCCGACCTGAGATCTCCTCGCGGACCTTCGAGACGTTCTGCGTACGTCGTTGCTCGGCTCTCTGGTGACGAGATCCTCGCGGACCTTGGAGACGTTCTGCGTACGCCGTTGTTCGGCTCTCTGGAGACGAGAACCTGCCCGCGGCGGGTTGGCCCCAGGTTGGCCCCGGCAGCACCTCCGCCGCGGCCCCTCCAAGACGAGAGGCTGCCGAGGAGCCCTGCCGGAGCTCCTCGATGCCGCGCACGGGCGCCTGCGGTTCCCGCCCTGCCAGGATCCCAGGATGAAAGTTGTAGCACAGCCTTCTCGGCCAGGCAGGGGCCAGAGCTCGCCGCTGCCGTGACCGAAGGGGCAATTCCTTCTGGTGCTGCACCTGGGGAAACCAAAACGTACCGAGACCGGTTCTCCCCGGACCTCACCTGGGGTGTGCTCTGACCAGGATCTCGAGGCGAATCCAGCGGCGGCGACGAGGGCCTCCCAGGAGGCCCAGACAGGGGAAAACGATGGAAGGGTAGCGGCATGGACACTTTTTCCTCTTCTGGGCACCTGTGACGCAAGAAGAAAAAGCACAGCCTCGTCTCATTGAGCAGGTGCCCGGGGCCCAGCTGCTGCCAGTCGCAGCGGTATCTGCGATGGCGCCTCGCTGTGACCGTCCAGCGCCGATGCCGACGAATGGGCACACACTCTCAGGGCGGCCAAGAGAGGGGGGCGTCCAAGAGGGGGGGGCGCTAATCATGGCCAGCGGCATGTGTGCGGCCCATTGGCGGGGCCAGGGACGTAATGAAGTAAGAAGAGGCGCTGTGAAATCTGGGGAACCATCATGGCCCACGCCATGAGATCCCCCCCCCCAGTCTTATCATGTTCCCATCGTACTAACAGCACCCCCCCTTGAACTAATTTCGAGCACCCAGAAAAGTGTCGAAAGAGTGTCGAAAGAGTGTCGAAGCAGTGTCGGACGAGTGTCTCCCAGGGCCCGACGCGCGAAAACCCTTGAGTTTCGGCACTCTTTTGGTATTCGAAATTCTTTCTGGTGAACAAGGCTAGAATAGGTTGGAACATCATAACCCTGGTCATCACCCCTCTTCGCCGCCCCCGAGACACACACAATTCACAACCGGGGACGGGGACCAGCGGCACAGGCGCCTCCAGCAATGTCTTCCCGAGACGGACCGGGCTGCCGCTGCCAAGGCCCTGGGCGCAGCGGCCACCACACGGCGGCGAGAGTCGGCATCAGGCCCCCGACGCACCGCGGGTGGGGTGCTCCACCTCCCTGTAAGGCCGGCTGCACAGGAGGCCTGTGCGGCATCCCTGCTGCCACCCTGGGCGGCCTCGCCAGAGCCAGACTCGCTGACTACGGAGAAGGTTGGAATGAAACTGTGGAAAAGCATTCGCGCGCGGCGAGAGTGTCCATATCCACGCCCTCGCAGTCTGAACTCGCGTGCGCGAGCCCGTGGATACGCGATCGCACGCACACGTCCCGAGCGGGACATCCGCGAAAAACGCCAACGGCTCAGGGGCCCGACCTGCAAGGTTTGGATACGGATATGCTTCCCGCCCACCAGTCAGGGGAACCTGGATCAGGAGCATCTGTAATGCCATCCGCATATGACACAGAAGACATGAAGACCGAGAGGGCAGATGCAAATGCAATGCTAGAACAAAGTTGCAGATGAACTCGGATGCATGAGCACACCTGTCAGACCTTCTTCACTGTAGCCCCGCGAAAACCCTGCTATTGCCAAGCTCCACTTCAAATCTGGCAGGCAGTGGCAAGTTCGGCACAAGGGCAATGGAATGGCAAGAGCGCAAGAACTGCAAGAACGCCTTTGGCAAGGCTGCGCGAGGTGTCGTCCACGAGGCCCCGTGGATGCTGGGGCTCCTCGACCTCCTACGGGTGGTTTGCGAACCCACCGTGCATGATCTCGTCTGAATGCATTCTCATAACGTGAACCCCAGCGTCCGAATCGATTGACTTGCCAACTACAGGCGGCCATCGATCAAACCGTGCACACTTGCTCGTCAACAGCGCCACCGCTGCCAATCCAGAACGTAAAAGAAATCGGCATGCTGGTGTGCCTCCGTCGAGAAATCGGAGGCCAAATCGGAATCTAAGGCCGACTCGAATCGGAATCGGCAGCCTTCAAAATCGAATCGAATCGAATCGGAATAGTCGAAACGAACGAGTCCCGGAGAAGTGATCGACTGTACCTTTTCGTATTGCGATTTAAATGTCGTTTTGCCCCATCGCCCATCCGAAATATAAATTCGCATCATCCCAACAAGGCCGGCAAAGGTTCCCCCCTTCATCTTCCGCAAAGAAAGTCCCACCATCGCTCTGGGCGTAGGTGGTTTATGGAGGTTCCTCTTCCACCCCCTTCTTTGATGTCGTGGACGGGTGTATCACTGTTCCTTATAGATAGACCCCCCCCCCAGGCGACCGGGGACCAACCCGACACCATGACGACACCATGCCGACCCGTCCCACACCATCCCTACCAATAAACAATACAAGCCGCACTCTGCCTCCACATTTGGAGCATGCGCGGCCAACCCGATGCGGCCCCCGCCCCCGCCATCCCTGTCAAAAAAAAAGCAGCATACACTTTGGGGTGAAGTCTCGAGTCATGCTCGTGAGGCCCGCGAGCAATTTGTATCGTTTTTGACAAGGATGTCACAATATTCCCTGCTGCGCGTAGGGCTACAATCCCGGACCAAAAAAATGGAACACGCACCTCGCGGCTACATCTGGACCATGCGCGGCAATCCCGCGATCGCTGTCAAACAGTTTTTTCGGCGGGGGTGGTGGCGCGTGGCATGCCGTGCGCAGGCCCACCAGACACAATGATGGGCATCAGTTGTCGACAAGGATGGCGGGGGCCGAAATGTTTCCCGATGTGTGCTGTCACGTGCGCATGCGCACCTGACGCACTCTGCACGTGCCCCGACCGCGGCGCACCTGGCGCGGCTGGAGTGTGCGGCGCACGTGGCGCATTCGGAGCACGTGGCGCATCTGGCGCACCAGGCGTGCTTGGCACGCTCGGGCCCCAGGGGTGCCTGGCGCGTGTGGCGCCCCTGGCACGTGTGGCGCACCTGGGGTCGGCTTTGGTTCCCAGTAGCTGTCCATCCAAAGACCACCGTCAAACATGCACAGGCTCGGGTGTTACTTGTGTAGGGAGGGCGGATGGGAGTGAACTAGAAGGCTTGTTTGTGTAGTAGGTTGATCTCTCCCCCTACCCCCTCCCCTGTACCTGGACGGGCGGTGCCGCAACCCATTGGAGCGTCCAAAACGGCCTCGGCGAGGAAACCGGCATCCTTGGTTTTACAAAAAAAAGTGTTGGCCCCATTTTGGCCTCTTGGGGGGGCGACGCTAAAATAAACCCCTCTCTTCTTTCATCGATCTCTTCTAAGATGGGCCAAAAGGCGCCCAGGAGTCCCCAAGAGGTCCCAAGATGGCCCAAAGATGGCCCAAGAGGCCGCCAAGGGGCCCCAGGGAGGCCCCCAAGAGGACCCCAAGCGGCATCAAAAGGCCCCCGAAAAACACCCAAGAGCCCCCCAGGACCGCCAAGCGACCCCCCAGACGTCCCGAGAGGCCACCAACAAACGGCCAAGAGATACCCCAAGAGGCTCTGGAAAAAAGCATCCGCCATCCTCTTTTCGGGTCGGGCGAAAAGGGGGGATAGCAAAGGGGGGGTTTGAGAATCAGCTCACGTAGCTAATTTTCCCGGCGCCTCCCGGCGCCGGGAGCGGCCATGTATCGAGGAATTGGCCCTTCGGTGAGGCCGAAACCAGCTGCATGCAGCAAATTTCGTAACCCCCCCTTTCCCAATCCCCCCCTTTCGCCCGACCCGATCTTTGCTCCCGCACTTCTCTGATCACCTCAACTCGCCTGGGCATCGTTTCTGGAGGGGCTGGCGGGGATATTTGCTTTGCTTCGCGAGAGCGCACCGGAGGGCGCCGGGCGCCGTCGAGGTCGCAGCAAGCAAACTACGAGCTGATTGCGCCAAGGGGCAGGAGGAGGAGGAGGAGGAGGAAGAAGAGGAGGAGGAGGAGGAGTCCTCCTCCTCCTCCTCCTCCTCCTCCTCCTCCTGCGCCGTCAAGGTCGCAGCAAGCAAACTACGAGGAGGGGACAGCGGGGGGATAAACAAACAGGAGGCGGGCCTCGCTGCCGCTCAGAGGAGGGCGCCGTCGACCGGGAAGAACTTCCAGGCGGGCTGAGCTGGTGGGGATACTTTTTTTAGTCAGCGGCCGCGGGCGAGCGCGCCAGCGGCGGGTCCAGTCAAAGCGGGGCACGCAACGACGAGTTCACCTAAAGCGACGGGGCGAAACTGGTGGGGATACTTTTGTGGTCGCGGCCGCGAGACAAGGGTCAGGCGGCGAAGGCAACGTCCACGCCACTGGTGGGGATACTTTTTTGGTTGCCGGCTCCAGGACAAGTGTCAAGAAGCGGGATAAACGGCTGGGGCACAGGCCGCAGATAATTGGCCAAAGCAGCGCGTAAGCCGCAAAGGCGACTGCACGTGCAAGGGACAAAATTACCCTCATTAGAGGTGATGCAAGGGACACGATGACCCTAATTGAGCACACTGGTGGGGAGACGCGAAGCGTCAAGAATTGTCAGAACAGATTTGTGCTTGCCGCTGCTGGCCTAAGCGGGACCCTCGCCTGGCCGTGGGACTGTCAGAAAACGACTCGTGGTAACGCACACCACTCCAGGGTCGGGGGCGTCCAAGAGGAGGGCGTCCACAGGGGGGGGGTCGAGAATCATGGCCAGAGGCACGGTCGCGGCCCAGAGGCCAGGGGATGTGTTGGACAAATAAGAAAGGCGATATCACGATCCTGTCCATGATATCCAGCCACCCTGGTCATCACCCACCTCTTGGCCGTCCCGACATGGGGAAGGTTCGGGACTTCCAGGGGCACCATTTTGAAACAAAAACGCAACATTGGATATCTGGCTTCGTCGTCGCTGTCCAGCCCGATGCCCGATGATCTGGGGCCGAGCAGGTGGACGATGTGCCCAGACCAGGAGGGAGAGAAAGAGAGAGAGAGAGAGGGAGAAAAGAGAAATAGAGAGAGAAAGAAACGAAGGGAAAGGGGACGGAGAACGAAGGAACATTACCACACTGAAACAAAGTTTGACTATTTTCTGAGTCCAAGGGCCAGCGACAGACCCCAGGCCAATCAAAAAGAACAGCAAGACACCGTACTGAAGAAACTCAAGACAATGCATATTAGGCTTCGTCGACGCTGTCAAGGCCCATTATCAACGCCGGCCAGATGAACGATATGCCCAAACCAGCGAGAGAGATAGAGGGAGAGCTAGAGAGAGAGAGAGAGCGGTAAGGTAAGGAAAAGGGGAAATGAGCAGGAGGAGAAGAAATGAAGGAGGTGGACAAACATAAGGCAAATGATAAAGAAAACCGAAGGCACGCACGAACGGGGCAGGGGAATTTGACACATGAACAATACATGGGAACATTATGAGAGGGGGGATCATGAACCGTAGCCAGAGGATCCAAGAGAAGAAATAATGCGACGGGTAAGTACAAAGAAGAAAGGCGCACGAGACAGACGCAGGGAAACGGTGACGGAAGAGGGACACTCATGAGAGCATGGGAAGCGCAAGCAGGCATGGCCATGGAGATCGATGGAATCGTCAACGGGAAGGACAAGCAGATGCACGGCAGCACCACGACATGGATGCAGAACGATGAATATGGCAACGGTGCACGGGAAGTGCTGGCGCGTGCCGACCTGTCTCCCCGGCTGCTTCTGCCGCCCGCCCGGCCCGGACCAGCACTGCCACCTCGCGGGCCCGGGGGGAGCACGTCCACTCCGAGCGCCAGAAGCTGGGGGAAGGCTCTAAAACCGATGATGCGGAGGTATGTCGAGACTGCATCACAAAAGTCAGCGGATGCTCAAACGGAACGGGCCAAACATGCACCCGGGCCCATGAAGGACACCACCAGAGTTGCCGGCCGTATGGGAGCCCGCCCTGGAAAGAAACAGAAAGCTACAAGGCTGCGAGAGGGAGAAACAGCAACGAGACGCTGGAAACACAATGCTGGGCAACTGGCAATTGTCCAGGGCTGGTTCCTCACTCCTCGCCGATTGGCGGATATAGGCAATGTGAAACTGCTTGCCCAATTCTTGCCGATTGGCACTTCTTGCCAACTCTTGCCAGCTGTCGGTGGCCAATTTCCAACTTCGTGCCAATTGGCAACGTCTCTTGGGGGGGACCGCTAATCCCTGGACCTCGCCAGGGGTGCGTTCTGACGAGAACTTCGAGGCTAATCCAGCCGCAGCGACGACGAATCTCCAGGACGTGCAGCCGTATCGGTATCCTTTCCTCCTCTGACTCTGGCAAATGGCAATTGCCAGGAACCGCGGGTGGAAGAGCAACATCCTGGCCGCGGGTGCGGCGCAACGCTGCAACGCTCCGCTCCCTGAAAGCCTTGGTGGCACCCTGCAGCTGCTCCCGCTGGCATCCCTGCAGGGCAACGTTAGGGGAGACAGGCTCAGGGGGAAAACATTGACCTAAAATTAGGTCGGGCATGCCCCCCTACAGGCGGATTTTGGACGGAAAAGAATACATACCCCAACATTTTTTGTTGAAGAAAAGCAAAACTAGAAACATCGTCCCCTGACTATTTTTTGACTATTTTCTGAACATTTCTCCTGTAAGGGGACACGCCCGACTTAAATCTAGAATCGGCGAGCCCGCGATAGCAAATAAGCAGGGTCCTGGGCGGTGTGAGGTACTGGGCCCCTCTCGGCGATCAGTGGGCGATGTGGTGTCGATGCCTTCCCCCCTGAGCCCATCCCCCCTGATGCATGGTTTTGAAGGGGCCCTGGGACACACAAATAAATACACACAAATAAAAAGATTCCCCATATTTTCCTATATTTTCTGGGTTTTTGTCTTCCCCCCACTTCCCATATTTTCCTATATTTTCTGGGGAATCGAGGATTAATTGTGTCTGTGTGTTTCTTTTCCTCCTGAACCACATCGGACAGCTGCCCGGGCCTGCTAAGACCAGGACCGACGAAGACGCCCGAAAACCTCGAGCCTCGAAGCCAAATTCCCCCCTCCTTGGACCCATCCCCCCTAGCGTTGCCCCAGACTGATCTGGAGGCTCGGGCTGGGCGAAAGGGGGGGGGATAGCAAAAGGGGGGGGGGTTGAGAATCCGCTCACGTAGCTGATTTTCCCGGCGCCTCCTGGCGCCTGAGGCGGCCATGTATCGAGGAATGGGCCCCTCGGTGGGGCCGAAACCAGATGCATGCAGCAAATTTCGTACCCCCCCCTTTCCTTATCCCCCTTTCGTTCGGCCCGACCCTAGCGTTGCCCCAGACTGATCTGGAGGCCTCCTAGATGGGGTCCGAGTAGGCGGTGTCGGAAGATCGCGCCGCATCGCCGATGCATCGGCGATGCATCGGCGGCGGTGCATCGGCGACGCTGAGGTGGAGAGGATCGGGCTCCTCATCGAGCCGCATCGCAGATGCATCGGCGAGGCATACGGAGCGATCCTCCGACCTCATCTGCTACGAACCTACCTGGGAGGCCTCTATGGCCCCGGGCAGCTAGCCCCGGCGGCACCCCGCGGCTGCTCTCGCTGGGCACCCCTTAGAACACGCAAAAACAGCATAGACATAAACTGTTTGTAATCCGCGCGTTCTTGGATCTGAGCTGGGCCCCCCTCCCTCGCTCGCGCGCGGAGCGCGCCAGGGGCGGCGCCGGAGGCGCCGCCAGGGTGGCACATGCGCCGATCCAAGAAAACTGCGCGGAGTGCCAAAAAGTTCATGCTTATGCCGTTTGTTCTGACTATCTACCAAACCACCCCAACCCAACCCGAAGACCCGAATTTCGCCCGAATTTCGGGTTCGAGGGGTACGGGCTTCAGGTGCGCTTTTTCAATGTTCCCCGACCCCAACCCCCCACTGGAAATGGAGGGCAAGTCGGGGCCTTCGGGTTTGGTTGGGATGGTTTGGTGGGCGGTGGTGTTCTTCTTCGAGGTTAGCCCCGGTGGCACCCCGCGGCTGCTCTGGCCGGGGGCATCCCGGCGGGGCCCTGCCGGCAGCCGAGCGCCCCGAAGAGGCTGCCGGCCGTGCCTCCGACGGCCACAGGCGCTCGGGTCGACACGCTCCCGCGCGGTTCCGTCGCGCCGAAGTCGGGTGCTGCCAGGACGCCCAGGTCTCCGACGACTGCCAAGGCCTCACAGCTGGTGCCGCCGAGGCCCTTACGACTGCGAAGGCCTTGCGGTTGCGACGGCCTTACGATTGTGAAGGCCTTGCGACAACGACGACGGCGACGACGACGACGACGACGGCGGCGGCGGCGACGGCGGCGGCGGCGGTGACGGCGACGACGACGGCGGCGGCGACGGCGACGGCGACGACGACGGCGACTGCGACGACGGCGACGACTGCGACGACGCTGACGCTCTGCTACCGAAAGCGCTTCTCCCAGGGAGGGTGGTTCCTCCCGGACAGAACGCTCCAACGTTGCCTTCGCGCTGAAGCCGGGTGCTGCCAGCGGCCCAAACCTCCGACGATTGCATCTGTTTTGAATTGGTGGTCTTCCCCCATAACCTATAAGATTGGGGTCTGGTCGCTACTGTGATGCCTCCGGCTCGCGAACACGTTCCTCTCCCCCCACCCCTCCTCTTCCTCACTTGGACTCGCTCATACTGAAACTCACTCGCACTCAGACTCAGTCATACTCAGACTCACTCATGCTCCGACTCACTCGCGCTCAGACACCCTCATACTCAGACTCAGGTACACACACAGACTCGTTCATGTCCGCCCCTTCCTCAGTCAGACTTGCTCATTCTCAAACTCTCTCGCACTCAAACTAACTCGTGCTCAGACTTACTCACACTCCGACTCACTTGCGCACAGACTCACTGCCACTCAGACTCACCCACACTCCGACTCAAATCTACACAGACTCACTCACATCGTCCTCCTGCTGGCTCAGACTCGCTCATACGCAGACGCACTCGCACTCGGGCTCAATCCTACTCAGACTCACTCATGCTGATGCTCCGAATCCCTCGCGCTCAGACTCCGTCATACTTAGACTCACCACGCCCAGACTCACCCACACTCAGACTCACCCACACAAGGACTCACTCACATCCTCCTCTTCCCCACCCAGACTCACTCGTACTTAGACTCACTCGCACTCAGACGCGATCATTTTCAGACATACTACCAATCCGAATCAGACTCAACCACAGTCAGCCTCACTCGGACTTGGACTTGCGACGCAGTCGCTTTCAGACTCGAAAATTTGCGAGGATGTTTCAGCCGATGTGGTGGCTTCAGAACCCCAAGGGGGAGCCGCCAGGTGTGTGTGTGTGTGTGTGTGTGTGCGTGTGTGTGTGTGTGTGTGTGTGTGTGTGTGTTTGTGCGTCGCGCATCAAGGGGAGCCGTCTGAGAACGAACAACGCCCTGTACAAATGGCCACTGAGGCCAGAGAGCCCTCCAGGCGAGACCACTGTGTGTGCACGGCCCCGTTCGCACCCAGATTATGAGGATGTCTTAAGCGGTTTGCCTATTTGATGGTGCTTCCGGAACAGATCGTGATGATGCCTCAAACGATATAATTGCTTGGTGGCCGCTATTCCTCTGGTTTCAAAACATAGCTGGGTGATGATCTCTCAAATGGTTTGCATGTTTGGTGGCCCATACTGTCCTGCTGTCAGAAGAAATTGTCCGGCTGTCTCATGCGGCCCCTTCGCGCACGAATTGCTCGGACATCCTAGGTGGTGTGCCTGTTTTGGCCCCGACTCTGCTGCGTTCATCGCAGACTGTGGGGATGTCGTGAGCGAGGCGCTAGTCTCAGTACGGGCTGGGCATTGTTTAAGGAAACCTTAGAGAATGAGTTCAAGGCCAAGAAGCCAGTGGAACTCCAATCGTGGATCCTCCATGGGTATCACCGCCACCTTCATTTTATAAGGAGTCCTCCAGGGTCTGGCGCCTCTTGGGGCTACTCCTTATCGAATGCCAACACCGTATCCCGAGGGGAAGCCGCCAGGGAGCAGACTGTGACCATGCCTCGAGCGAGGCGTTCATTTTGACACCCAGGCGAGGAGCCGCCAGGGAGCAACTCTTGAGGATGTCTCGAGCGAGGCGCTGGCGTTCGCCTCCTGAGGGCGCCGCCAAGCTGTGAGACTCTCGCCCGTTCCCTGCAAGATTGTTGCGATGTCTCGAGCGAGGCGCTCGATTTGCACTTCGGACTCCTGTCCAGTCCGAACCCCCATGGCCACCTCGATGTAAGGAACAGGGCGGCCGCCAAGGAGGAGCAGGGAGAACGGATGAGGAATTGGGGGGAAGCAGGAGGAGGGAGATGGGAGGAGGGAGGAAGAACGCGGAGGGGCGACGGCGATGAGGAAGCGGAAGTGAGAGGGCGGGGCCCGCCAGGAACGGGGGCACTTGCCAGGGACGGGGAAGAGGCAGAAGGACGGCCGCCAGGGAGGAAGAGAGGGGATGGAAAAGGAAGGAGGCGGACCCAGAAGAAGGGAAAAGGGAGGCAGGAAGACGGGCGCACAAGGGGGTACGACGAGGAGGAAGAAGAAAGAAAGGGGAAGGGCCTGATGCACCGCCTGTTTGTGAGTTGTTGTCGTTGTCGTCGTTTCCCCTCATCGTAGCCTTAGGTCGGGCGTGTCCTCCTACAGGTGGATGTTGGACGAACATTTTACAAGTAGTCATACATATTCGAAGATTCGAAGATGCGAACAAAAAAGCGTCACCTTACTATGTTTTGGCGATTTTGGAATATTCCTCCTGTAGATGGAAAG